CTTGGGTATGGTTTGTGTGTGTTCGTGCTTGGGCAAAGCGCGTCTAAGATGAGACGGAGTACCCAGAGTCCAGAGTGATGCAGGATTTTGCCTTCAGTGATGAAGTATGTGCAGCAAAAATCCCGAGACACGTGGCGGCTGCTTCGTGCGCCAGCTAAACTGCTACTGTAGAACTTGCAAGCAGCTCAAGGCAAGTTTCTCCACGAAGAATTTATCCAACCAGTCGGCCTGTTCCTTCCTTCGCACCAATCGGCTCATCATCCACTCCATCTTTCCTGCTTAATGTCAACATCTCGCTGCAGCGTCTTCGTCCTCCTTTATGTCGTGATGACCACGAGCCCGCGATGCCGACGGCATGGGTTCGCCTCGGCTTGCATCCACTTGGCCACTAGGCCAGGCGCCAGGTGGTGGGCATCCTTGATCATGAGCCGCAAGGCCACAGGCTCACTTTCGACGGACTTGAAGCTTGAGTTTTTTGAGCGAGACCGTCAAGGGTGGGATCAATGAATGGGTGGTGACGGCATTTGATCTCCTGTAAGCAGAACAAAGAGCTTGCCCAAGAACGCTTCAGTGAGCGATGCAGATGCATGGATGGCTTCAAGTTCGATCTATGAGAGCCTGAGGAGAGTTGCAAAGCAACTCTCGTGAAGACGGCAACTACTCCGTCGGCTACGGTTAATGGCAAGACGGTGACCCAGAAAACCACCACGAAACCCCAGGCGAGGCTGTAGCAGAAGCAGGCTGGGGATGCACTTCTGCCTGCAACAGGTTCCGGCTTCGTGCGAAGAAGCAGAAACGCAACAAGTGTTTGCACGTGAAAACGGGTTTCTAACTTTATTTGTAAAAAAGCCCCCTTGGAGCCAAACCCACGCCACGAGTTACACCAGACCCCACGTAGCGAGAATACGTGTGCCTTAAAAATTAAAACCATCGAGCCAGAGCTATGGCAGATGTACAGCGACCTCAGAACACAACCCAACCTACAGGCATCGTTGCTCGGGCAAGGGGGCGGACACGATATCTGCGAATTGTCGATCAAGGTCTTTGCTTGACGTGGCCTAAGCTCTTGGTGTCCATGATTCAGGTTCGACTCTCCCAACACTGCGAGCCACAGCTAAAATCGAGCCAATACGGTTTCAGAACAAACGCCGGAACAAAGCACGCTCTTTTGCTGCTGTGTCGAGCCATGCAGTGGTCCATCATGATTCAGAAACCCTTGAACCCGTTGAAACCATTGCTCGGCGTTGCTTTCGGTCCAATTGTGACGAAACCGCCTCCGGAGCATATTCGGGCTGCACATAAAGTATGCCCTTATAGCCAGACCTAAGAGAGCCAGAATCGGCGCCAATGCGTGCCCCAACCCGCGTGCACGGCCGCAGCAAAAGCTCAAAGTAGTTTTGTTAAGAGGCGGGAATGATTACAGGCGGGGGCTCCCGGAAAGTGTGGTTGGGAAGCGTGGTTGTCGGTAGAAAGAAACGCCGACACTGCAATGCTTTTCGACCGGAAGACAAGAGAGATGCTGTTCTCGCATACAGTGCAGAAGCAACATGTCCTCTTGTAGGAATACGCGGTGCGGCATGTCAGTGTCCTCACCCTTACCCTCACTGTCACCCAAACCTTCGCCCTCACACCCTCATTCTCGCTCCACTCTCACCCTCATTTTCACGCTCTCCCCGACCCTTTCACTCTCACCCCCGTTCACCCTCTCACCTTCACTCTCAGCGTCATCTTCATCCTCACCCTGGTCTTCCTATTCTGGCATTCTCTCGACGAGGAAGACACATGTCGCGCGTGCCTCAAGCGAGTCTGGCACCTTGCTGTGAGTTTGGACTGTGAGCTTCATGCACTGAGGTATTGGATGAGAGCCGGCACAAGCCTGCTCGGCAGCACGCTGTTGCCCAGCGACGTGGTGCGATACATGGCAACATCGAGCATGTGCTCAACATGCCTAGCATGTGGTCATGCTTGTGAGAGTTCCCGCGGTATGCAATTTACGCATGTGATACTAACTTCGCATAGCAGTTACAACAGGTACAACCATGCAAGTGACATCCGAAGATGGTTCACATGTCTCACCACTCAAAGGATCTACTGGAGGCATTGATTTTATGCGAGCCAAATGGTCGCGAAGTCTTTTGTCTCACTTCGTACTGTATCAGTCTTCGTTTGCTGGTTTGACATGTCTCGCTGCAGCCAAGCTGTTTTCAAGGGGGGATTGAGCAAGATCAGCTTACCGTCTTAGGCTTGACAGGCAGCTTGCCTGACAGGGGGCATCGAAAATGGGAGGGAGTAATGACGCACGAGCTATTTTTTAGTTCCATGAGGTTCAGGTTTGTTTGAGGACGAGCTGGCAGGGGCCGGCACCCGGATTCCGCCGAAGGCGGCCGGCGGCGATCTGAGCTGCATGGGCCAGTCAGAAATGATTCTCGGATGCATTCCTTGGAGCGCTGAGGGTGCCACATGTAATGAAAGAGGCCGGTCCCTCGCAGTTGAGCTTTTGTTTGCCATCGCGGATCAAAACCTGCAAGCCCTGTAAGCTCCATTCGGCCAGGCTCGCAGCGGAGTCAGCACCTCCACAACAGCATCCTTGTGGATTCCTCAGCGCTTACAGTAAGCATTTGCGATTTATGACGCTTGGCTTGTTTTCACGGTCGGAGCCTTGGTGCGACCTAGGGCGGCAGAGTCTAGTGACGCCATGTCTGCCCGCGACTTTGAACTCGACACCATCGCGGCACCGGAAAGCCGTCTGCCTTATCGCAGCGCCAAGGCTAGAGCGGGAGACGATGATGGTGATCGAGAAAGGTCCAGAAGCAAAGCCAGGTTCCGTGTCACAACTTGGCGCTATCAGGTTCCTTCGGGAAGAGATGCCTTGCAGCTTGTGGCATGGGCCCTGGTCAGATGACAGAGAGAGAAGGCTGGAGGCTCAAAGTGACTCTTTGCTGTGTCCAGGTGCTGCTCGGCTCACTGCTCCAAAGTCGGCAGCACAGCGGCGCGCAGCGGTGCGCAGCGGTGCGCAGCGCTCTTGAAGCGTCCGCCGCCTTTTCCGAGGACTTGGTTCCGCAAATGTCCGCAGTGCCTCGTGTGCCCAGTCGAGGCGGCATGAGCTTAGTGACTTAGTCGCTTTTGTGATCTTTACTGGCCTAACATCTCGTCCCCTGCATTTGTTTGGAGGTTTGGGATGTTTGACTATTGAACCGATCGCTAGCCGGTAGCCATTTCAGGCGTGAAATGAAATGTGTACCAGTACCGTGGTCTGCTTTCTCGAGTGCTTTGCGTTCCAAGGTTGGGGACTGGGGTAAGAACATGATTGATGTTTTGTGCATCTATGGCCACAACACGTTTGCGCGTGTCCGTGCTTGTCGTGCGCTGGAACTGCTCTCGCCATTCGAGCTTCTCCCTTTACCTCTTTCCTTTCGCTCTGTCTCTGTCTTTGACATTATTGTTCTATTGCTGGCCCTCCTCTGTCTGTTTGTCTGTCCGTCTGTCTGTCTGTCCGTCTGTGTCTGTCTGTCAGTCAGTCAGTCAGTCAGTCAGTCAGTCAGTCTGTCTGTCTGTCCGTCTGTCTGTCTGTCTGTCTGTCTGTCTGTCTGTCTGTTTCTCTCTCTCGTGTTTGTGTCTGTGTCTCTCTCTGTCTCTCTCGCTCGCTCGTTCTCTTTTTCACTCGCTTTGCGTGAAAATGCAGTTTTTTCCTCTCCGGTCACCCAGTTCCTGTGCAGCTCTGTTCATGAGTGTGCACTATGCACGTCGTTGTGAGAATCTGTAGCTGTAGCCTGTTGCTCCGACTGCATTTCAGAATGTCTGAGAGCACGTGGTTATGTTGTTGGAGTTCCTGCACGGCTTTTCGAAGTCCTAGCGTGTGCCGGCAGACATTTGCCTGGGCCTTGCTGACCTGACCAATATCCAGCCGAACTTCAACGGAGTTTGGCCAGGGACTTACTTGGCAACAACAGCAGAACAACCAGCGGACATTAGACAATTCAGGGCAGGAAGGCTGCACCAGTCGTGAGATGCATACCTGCACACTGTCACCCATGAGTTTTCTCTTCCAACATTTTCAAGCTCATGACGTGCTGGTGTTCGCAGATGAAGTACCTGGTATTTTCGGTGGGCCAGTGTATTGAGAGCAGACGCAACCCTCCCAAAACGGCTGATATTTCGTTAAGGATAAGCATTAATTACGGCCTTCCCGTCTACCAAAGACTCGCTCTGGTGATTGCTGCTACCACTGCCACGAACACACCACCACGACCACAACCACTACCACAAGCTCTCGCAATACCAGCACCGTTTGCTGCGCCTTCCCTCCTCGCCTTGCTGCTGACCTTGCCAGTCCTTGTACGCGTGTGTCCCGTTGCTGCAGGGCGTCTTTGATGAGATGTGGGAATTTGAATTGCTGTCTATCCTCAGCACTGCACATCCTTGCTCTGTAGCGCACGTGTGCGAGTAGGAACAAGCGCCAGCAGTCGACCGGGCAGCGTTTGAGTTCTGTCCCCGCCTCTTCGCCAAGCCGTGTTCTGGTCCCGCCGACTCTTTGGCGGCGGCCGGCCGCGACTTGGCTGGGGGGACTACATGGACGTCGGTCCTTACGGCATCTTCCATGGAGGTTGAGATTCCCGCCGTTTGTGGGGCGGGAGAGAACGCCTCATCGCCCACGTCGGGCGTTGGGGACAGTGGTCATCTGGTCTCGAATGCAGACAGAGCCAGGCGTGATGGACATCCGCGCCTTCGTCGGGCAGCTCACCAGGGCTGAGATGATTGCCGCTTTCAGATGGGCTCGCCTTGTGGGTGGCGTCGTTCTCGGATGCCGCCCACTTGCTGCCGCAGGCGTCGTTCAACCGCTTGGACGGTCCCTCCTCGACCACTTGGGCGGGGACATCATCCCCCTTTGTGCCTGGCCCCCCCCACACATGAGGCAGCCCGCCCTTCCCGGTCCTTTTTTACGGACACCATTTTTAGCGGTGACATCCGCAAGAAGGTCGGCCAGCTGGAGCCACGTGCCCATGCAGGCCCGTTGAGCGTGCAGATGGGGGTTCGTGCTGGGGTTCGTGCTGCTCCTCGACGACCACGTCTTCTCGACTTCGGTGTGGTCTCCACTTAAGCCAGTACATGAACGGCATCCTATCGGGATAGTCTACAAACCCATCCTCGATACACCTCAAGAAGGAGACGCCCTCCGGTTGTCCTGTGGCTTTCGCGCTCATCGCAGGTCACAGCAGAAGACGCACGCCGCATCCTCTGGAACACAACCTGGTGGCACACCCCACGGTGCGCGCCTACCCAGGCCACAAACAAGGGGCCCTCAAGGCGGGCCGCGATCTGGTTTTTTGTTGGGTGGGGGAGGCGGGTTCGAAGGAGGCATTGGACCTGTTCCCGGAGCTCAGTGAGCTCCTGCGATATGCAGGGGATCCGGACTGGAGACGATACACCAAAGCCACTTGGTCTTTCTCTTCAGGCGTGCCGCTGGGGGTGGATGTTAGATTGCCCCGAACTCCTGCGCATTTCTTCCGGAAGACTAAGCATCGAAAGTTTGAGGGGGCAGCGGAACAGCTTTCGGATGAACTTCGCTTGAACTACCCTTCGGCCCGCGAGCACGAGCTGAAGATCGAGGAGCAATTCGCCAAAGAAGTTTTTTTGGGGGCTATGATTGAGCTGCCTTTGGAAGAAGCGCGCGCCCGCTACGGCGCGACACTTTCAGTTGCATCCTTGGGTGCGATACCCAAGGCTGATGACTCTGTGAGGGTATACACGATGGATCGAATGGCCAACATGTCAATGATCGGATAAAGGTTCGTGATNNGCTCAGAGCACCCCGACGGGTGCTGACTTGTCAGCGGCGCTTGAGGAGCTTCCAGGGGCTTATTTCTCGATCACGGGCGACATCTCGCGGGCTCACCGGCTTGTGTTGGTCAGGAGGTCTGACTGGGCTAGACAGGCTTGTCGGGCCCATCGAAAAGACCACGTCTACTTGAACGCCGTGGGGACGTTCGGCATAGTCTCGGCGTCATAGTGGTGGTATCGGCTTTTATCTGGGCTAGGTCGCATTCTTTATTATGCCCATGGTCAAGATGCTACAGCGCTTCTTACTTATGTCGATGATTTGATTTGGCTTACTGAATCATCTCAAGGGCTGCCGCGGATACTTGCATCGATTTTCTTGCTAGAAATTTTGGGCATTCCCTTTGCTTGGCATAAGTTCCGAGGAGGTGCGGAGCATGGATGGATTGGTTTTTCCATTGCGGCGCACCAGAGGCTTTTGGGCATATCAAAGTCGCGAGCAGATTGGATGGTTGGCTGGATTCGCAAGGTCAAGTCAGATGGCTTTGTTAACATCGCTGACATGGGCGCTGTGCTGGGGCGGCTCTCTTTTGGGCTGACGCTGCTTCCATTGCTTCGGCCTTTTCTGGGGCCCCTTTATGCCTGGGTCGCTGCGGTCAAGCATTGTCACATTAAGAAGCTGCCGAAAGCCATCGTCCTGATTCTGTCTTTTCTTGAAAATTTCTTCATGAAGGACCTTCGCACATCGCATGTGCCTCGGAAGGGTCGTAAGCCTGTTGAACTTTTCCGTACAGACGGAAAGGCCGAAGGTGATGAAATGTGGGTTGGCGGGTGGGCTTCAGGTGAGTCTGCCAATCCATATGATTGCCATTGGTTCGCGGAAAGGATATCCCACCTGGAGGCCCCATGGTTTTTCAATTGCTTCGCTGGAGCTGCTGGCAACTCTGATCAATGTCATTGTTTTTGAGACTGCGCCATTCACTCATGCAAACTTCATTTGCAGTGCAGCTACGGACAATCGCGGTAGCAGTCAACTTACGGCGAGATGGCTGACGACATCCTTTCCGTTGGTGGCAGTGCTGATGGAGCTGGCAACTGTTTTGCAAGGGAACGGCCTCTCTCTTGAATTGCACTGGGCTCCTAGGCTACAGAACTCTTTGGCTGATTCGTTGACGAATCAAGATTTCAAAAGTTTCAATCCTGAACTTCGGCGGCGCTTTTCCTTCAGCAGTTACCAGTCCGTGGTCATGAAAGATATGTTGGACCTTGGGTCCACGCTTTACAAGGACATTGCTGAGTGGAAGAGCCGAAAGCGCGGTCATACGGTTCAGGATAAGAACGCTGCTCGCTCCAAAGCTTCGACCTCGAAACACCAATGGTGCATTCCAGTTGCGCCTTGTTGCTGTCAAAGCTTGTTGCCAGAGTCAAACGGTATCGTCAGTACACCGTGCTTGCACCTCGTGCCAACAACGGCCCCAACTACGTGCTAATCATTGATCCTTTCGGAGTATGTCAACTCTTTACTCCAGGAGGATGTTCTCTACAACTCCTGACAATGGTGGTTGACTTGGGAATTCCGATTCAGGCGAAGTTCACTGCAAGGCTGACCAAGGCCCGACAGAGAGGACCCAAACAGCATCTATCAAGGAAAGCATTGCAGCATATTCCTGGAGGCAGCTTACTGCCACCTGGACAAAGCAGTATCCTTGATCAACCAGTGACTCCAGCAAAAGCGGCCGAGGCAGCTCAGGTCTACGCAGACGCGCGTGCGAAAGCAAAGGCCAAAGCCAAAACCAATTCGCCTGGCCCACCAACACGTGAAGAACGCAGACGCAGAAATCAAGAAACCTCTGATCAATGGTGGGACGGATACCAAGGCGATCGACGTTGGGACAGAGATCGACGCTATGGGTGAAGCTCTACCTGCGTACATGATCGGATGTGGACATGCTTCAATGCACTACTTTTCGTGCATATGCTTTCTTCGAGGTAGTGATTCCTATAGTCTGGCCAGAGCTAGGGATCGCACTTGACGTTTTCGTGTCTCACGACGACACTAATTAAGGCTGAAAGTATGCACGGTTTGCCAAGACGCCGTTGAGCAACTTTTCTGTTCTACGTCTCTCTTCCTGGGTGGGCAACGCCGAAGGCATCATTCATGGGGGGTGTGAAGAGACGTCGAAGCCAAGTGCAATTTCTCTAAGAGCTATGCTACCACATGTTTGCCATGACGTTGGGAGGGTTTCACCCACCAAGTCGGAACAGCTCAACATATCGGCGT